TCTCGACTAGAAGGCAGCCTTTTTTTAACAAGGAATGGAATTACTAGTCTGATAATAACATCTTCACCATGGTATAGGTGCCTTTTTCTCAAGTGGTGTATCTGCTATTTGAATTTCCAAGTACTTAAGCTACATGCAGGAAGAGAACCAAAGTGACCTGAGAGTTAGTCCAGAGTGTTGTCTGTAATGATGGGTGAAGATGTTTTGAATTTTTTCTTCCATTCTTAAGTGATAGTAGCACATCTCAGTCTTTTCATGCTCATTTATTTAAATCCAAAGCAACAAAGAAAAGTTCATGCTGGATCTGATGACACTTGGCAATGATTCACAAGCCGAAATTTCCTTTTGGCCCTATTCAATGCTGGATTTTTGTTTCATATTGTGAGACTGTGTAAAGTGAACAGTTTTGACTACATGGAGCAACAGTACTATTTAGGTAACTATATAATCCCTAGTCCTCAAGTGATAACAGGTGCTCTGGTATTACCTTGCTGCTGTAAGATAGCTAGCCCTGTGTTTTGGAAAAAATTGAAAGCACAAATTAGCCAGCCTTTTATGAAAAGCCACAGTAGCCTACTAAAGAGAGTGAGCCAAGAAGGGGCACCCGTTGTCTCCCTCTGACTGTGCTAGTGCCAACCCTGTGCACCACAGGCATGAGTTCAGAGAAGACCAACAGCTTTAGCAGCATGCACAGGCACCGACCTCAGGTCTGCGGACTTTCTGTGCTTACTTACTCAGGACAGGGAGAATACAGAGCCGAGCACTGTCACTTCAGATTCTCAACAGAAAGGACACAGGTGACATGATTGGAGCATGACAGCTGTATGTCACAACGCACGTAATAAGCCTTCAACATAACCATGCAACACAGCTAACTCTCTTCATAGACTGTCCACCTCTTCCTGATTACCAGCAGCATTTTACACACAATGCAAAGCAACATAGAATCATAGAATCATAGAATCATTTAGGTTGGAAAAGACCTTTAAGATCATCCAGTCCAACCATTAACCTAACATTACCAAGTCCACCACTAAACCAGTTAAGGGAAGACTGGACTAAACCATGTCCCGAAGTGCCACGTCTACCCATTTTTTGAACGCTTCCAGGGATGGTGACTCCACCACCTCTCTGGGCAGCCTGCTCCAATGCTTGACCACCCTTTCCGTAAAGAAATTTTTCCTAATATCCAATCTAAACCTCCCCTGGCGCAGCTTGAGCTCACTTCCTCTTGTCCTATCACTAACTACATGGGAGAAGAGACCAACACGCACCTCGCTACAACCTCCTTTCAGGTAGCTGTAGAGAGCGATAAGGTCTCCCCTCAGCCTCCTCTTCTCTAAGCTAAACAACCCCAGTTCCCTCAGCCGCTCCTCATAAGGCCTGTGCTCCAGACCCTGCACCAGCTTTGCTGCCCTTCTCTGAACACGCTCCAGCACCTCAATGTCCTTCTTGTACTGAGGGGCCCAAAACTGGACACAGTATTCCAGGGGCGGCCTCACCAGCGCTGAGTACAGTGGGACAATCACCTCACATTTGGCCCGGCAGGGACTTTTAGCATCTGTCTGGTACCACACACACATGATCTCACAGTCATTCCAGACTCTTGTAATTCAATTTAAATGTATTTGTGATCTAGTGAAGGGAACTACTTGGGCTGAAGTTTGAGCGGGCAGTGGAGTGCTTTACTTTCTTAGTCCCCGCACAGAACACCCACCAAAGTCATTAGGCGGGGTGAGTGGAGGGCTAATTGCAGTGTTTCAGTTTATAGCGATCTCCTGTGAGATGCAGTGTGTGCCTTTAAAAGTGTTGTTCCTTGCACTGAAGTATTTACCACAGTACTCGTACTTCAAATGGGAAATAATGCAACTATGGAGGCAATAATGCAACTAGTGTGGGTGGTAACCAGCCAATTCTTCTTACACCTACAACATATTTGTTCCAGAAGATCATATTAATGCTATTACGGGAATTACAAAATTGTTATAATGGGACCTGCTAGGCAATATTGTGTATTTTGAAACTTAAAATAGTAATGACCGCCCTAAATTTTCACTACAGCTGCTTTTCTTCTTCAATTCAGCCTGCTGTCTCTCTGCAGGCTCTCTTGTTTAATGACTGTTAATCCTTTCATGTTAACAGAAAAATACTAACTACTGGAATAGGGAGTGTATGTGTGTACTAGGAAGATCATTAGTCTTGAATAAATGTGACAGCAGAGTTGCACAAGAAATGCCACAGTTAGTGGTAAGCACAAACTACAGCTTTGGGTGTAAAATACTGTAATTACAAGGGATGGAGAAAGCTTCACAGTTTTTATCCCCACAGAAATCGATAGCGGTGCAGACTGCTGCTCTTTGCTGGAGCAGGGGCAGTCTGATGAAAGAGCTTATTGATTTATCCAGCTGATGCCACTGTAGTGAATAATAGACTGGAAAAGAAAGGGCTTGTAAATTAGACTCATTCAATCCAACATTTTCCAGGATATCTTTTATGTACAGCTATATAGAGATATATATTTACAAGTGGTTTTTTGTCAAAGCAACAGCTTGCTGACTCCTGGTAAGAGGGTCTGTCTACAGACTGTCAACTGCACTCACAGTGCTAAAGTCAACATTCAAGCTCTCACTAAAGACTGACACTAAGGAGGAAGCACCAGGGCACCTAGGAGCAGGACTTGGCTATGGTGCAGCTGGCTAACCCATATCCCGGAGGGCTATGGCCACAGAGGAAAGGTGGTCGTGGCTCCCCCCATGCCACCTGTGCCATGACAGACCCACTGGCATGAAGGCATTGGAAAAGTCTGCTGTGGATTCACAGGTCCCCAGGCTAGGAGAAATGTCAGTGCCGAACCACTCCCCACCAGCCCCAAATAACGTGGAAAGGAGCGTGGTGTTTTAGGAATGAAAGGAGTCCTGTGTTTCTTCTTAGCTCAGCAGGCAGATTTGCTATGAATCTAGATCCACACCGGCAAAAATATAAGTGTTCAGATCGGTTTTGCATAAACTGAGAAGGAGAAAGAAAGAGAGAGAGAGACAGAGACAGAGAGCGAGCAGCAGGCACGCTGCCACCAAGTACGGGGAATCAATCTTCTCAGCAGTGATGGATCAGGGAGCAGGACTGTAAGTTTTACAGGTATATGAAACCCTGCGAGTATAAAGACACCATTAAAACACTGCCATTAAATTCCAACACTGAAGGATGATCACAGCCCCTGGAGCCAAGCAGGTCAATATGTGACTGTATATTTTTCATTACCATTTTTTATATACATATATATGAAGCAGAATAGGATTCACAAAAGCCTCACCCTCGCTTCTGCTGAAGACCTCTGCTTTATACGCAGCATCTGCTTTCACAAATAAAATGCAATATACCATCAACAGATAAATGAGATCCCTACAGGGCTTTTATTCTGCCATACCATTATATCTACTTTTCCACAAGATTCCTGCTTAAATGGCTCTCTTTATGCACATACACAAAGATGACATACACCTGTCTAAATATAATCTGATAGTGAAGAGCTCTTCTGTATGGGGAAATGTATCTTTTCTTCCTAATTTACCATAATGACTTATTTACACTGCTGGAGCTAGGGGTATGTTAGCTTCCTCACTATAAAAGTCACCAAGGTGTTATACAGTAAGACGTGGCTGGATTTTTTTTTTTTTTCCTATCTTTAGAAAAGAAAAAGAGAGGTGCTCTGAATCTCACCTTTCTGTCTTCCCCATAAAAACAAATGTTTTGAGGAATTACAGCTTTATAGGCTGCTGCCATTGACTAATAGTTTTTAAAGTGATGAAAGTGTTTGTGTGAGCCACACTGAAGCAGCCTTTTTTCTAAATCTGGGAAACCTCAAAGCAAACACCTATGCTGTGCCATAGGGTAGCTCAGAGATCACTGCCAGCACAGTAGCCACCTATATGGCACTTATTTAAGAAGTAGACCGATTCATTAGCTAGTAGTGTCACTCTTCTGTCATCGTGACTATTTCAGTCAAAAGTAACCCTCCTCAGAGAATAAAAATTCCTGACTCTTGTTTCATGAGAGAACTCAAAGCATTTTATGACCTGGACACATCGACAGTGGATAGTTACAGCCACAACTCTTTGGGCAACAGAGAGCTGAGGCTCAACAGAGAAGTACTGCAGAGAGACAGGATGAAGGAACAGGAGAGAGGTATATGTGAAGATTTTGGCTCAGGATATTGTGCTAACGAAATGTGAAAGGAAGTTTCAGTGCACCAGCAGAACAGAGAAGACCTCATTTTTGAGAAGGGATGGGGTGCAGAGAAGACTAATTATTCATCAGTGTATGTCGGAATTGCACTAAAAGCCTGTTTTTTTTACTTCTCGCTCTTATTAGTCACAAAGGCAGGACCATGGTGTGAACAGGTGCAGGCAGAATAGACTTGAGTGCACGAGCTGATTTTCATGAGGCCGCAGCATGCTGATAATTATATATGAAGTTTGCATAGGCACTGCATAGATACAAGGTACCTCTTGCTACCACAGGGCCAAAGTCAAAAAAGGGCATAACTATTATAGGTAGAAACACATGCACCCACCATTCCTGACAGTAAGAAGTCACAAACTATTCTGCTTTGCCTAGTTTACTCTTTTGAAAATGCTGGCTTTCCCCTAACTCCTCTATTTTTCATTTGCATTGCCGTAAGAGTCACTGCCAAGCTTCCCTGGACAGATGCTGAGCCGGTATTAGAGAGAAGGGCTGTTTGGTGGGGAGGGCAGGGGGGACAGGGCTCTGTTATGAGACTTTCTAATTCTTCACTGCTCAACTTCATAACCCTCAGACAGCATTACATTCATCTTCAGAGAAGAAGAGTGGGGTGTCCGGACTCATGAGAACTGGATTAACTCATTTCTCCATCCTACAAATGATTCTGTGACTTCAGGTCATTGATGCTGATCTGCAGCTATTGCAGGTTTTTCTGTGGCCACATACATCTCAGACCCCGGAGACATCACAGCGGCACTTACCCTGCATGCAGAGCCCGTCGGTGCAGTTCTTGGACTGCAGCACCAGCCCCTCGCAGTCCTTCCCCCCGTTCTTCGGCGCCGGGGCCGTGCACTCCCTCCGGCGCCAGTGGGTGCACTCCGTGCCGCAGGTGGACCACTTGCTCCAGGATGTCCACTTGCCGTCCACTGAGGCGAGGAAAGGACATGACTTGTTAGGGGGGTACATAAAAGGGAGACCGAGCAAAAGCGATGCACCTCTTTGCGCAAGCCAGCCTGCAACTCCTGGCCATTCCCAGCAAGGCAGAAGGATCATCAGTCTGCTCTTCTTAAAGTCCTATTTCTGGCCTGTAAATGCACATTCACTCTCCCTCTCCTTTCTCTCTGCCCTAGCCCCATTTCTGCTCTTTCCTCCCCTTTTTATAAACTTCCCGGCAGTTTATCTGTGCTCAAAGTGTACAAGAAAATGCATGACAAGTCGGGAATCTGTGACCTTTTTTTTTTTTGGGGCATTTTTTAACACAGAGGTTAAAGTTAAACTTGGCCAGATATTCTTTAGTAGGAAGGTATTTAATGTTAAATATTTTCTATTAAAAGAAATATCTAGAGGCACTATCTATTTCACATGAGCAGAATCAGGAATGTGTTTAGCGCCTTTCAAAATCCCACAAATGATTTTCAAAAGCACTAAACTGAACAGCCAAAGAACAAACTATGAAATTGTTCCAATGACATGGCCTGAGCCAGGAGTCTGTCACTTGTAATAGCGACCTGAAATTAAATTTCAGCTTTTAAGTTTCACCACCACTAAGACCCAGAGTTGGATGGCCAAGCTTCACAAGCTGAACACAACCCTACTCCCATCGATTTGCATGGGACTGCAGGTAGGAAAGCACTGGACAATAGGACAGATGGCAGAACTTTTGTCACAGAAAAGTCACCAACTACCTCGAGTGTCCTGAAGCAATTTTGTATTTTTCAGAAGTTTACATTTAAATACCTTTCAAAGGTATGCATACACATCTCTTTCCAGTATAAATGTCTTTGTATTTGAAGTCAGGTAAACACACGCCTCAAATTTAACATCCACACCCCAGATGCTCCACTTGCTGTGACAGCTGGACTGAACAGACATTGCAAATATATTTACATCACAGTTGCTTTCTATATTCAAATTCCAGTCCTTTTCCAGAGCTTTCAGCTTTTATCTCCCACAACTTGAAGCTCTGAATGTCCCCCAAATCCCCTGAATTACCAGGGCTGAAACACCAGTGCAAGCTGCATGCAAAAGTGGGTCTGAATCCTCTGCTGCTTGATATAATGTGCTCACTATTTTATCTACTTACATGATTTCATATTAATTCACTGAAATGTCAGATTTATTAATAAAGAGAAGGAGGCTTTTGTAACTAATAGTCTTCTCCTGAAATGACTGGTGACAGGCAAACTATTTATCTAGGGCTATGTACTGTTCATACTGAACCTGGACACAGAGTGGTGCAAGCTATTTTCTGAACACTCTGGCCCTCGCAGAAGGCACCACCGTTGAGTGGGGCAGGATTGGTGCAGGTCCTCGTACGCTTCTGAAAGCCTCTCCCACATCGGCTGTTACACACTGACCACTCGGTCCAGGTAGACCAGCCTCCGTTCACTGAAAAGCAAGAGAGAGAGTATGATCGCATGAGCAAGCCATCCTGTTCAGCCCAAAGGTGCCTCTGGCTCTGTGTCATGCTGCCTCCAACAGCAGTCACAAGTGATGGCTGGGAAGAGCACGAGAAGCAACACTGAACAGACACAAACCCAAGTCTCCAACGTACTGAACGTACAGCATGCCAGAAGTCATTGTACAAGTCAAAGAAATGCTGACACTGAATGAAAAACACCATTTGATGACTATATATGGCTGGCAGGTGACCTGCCTTCTCCTGAAAACTGACCTGACCCAGCACTACACACCCAGTGGTATGTGTACAGCCAAAATCTCTGCGGGTTCAGAGAGCGCTCACAGCTCTGCCAGCCAGAAGCCTGCACTCTGAAAGCTGCATCATTTTCCAAAGGGAGATAACCTGCACTCCAGCTCATTCTCAGATGCACCGAGCATGCTGAGAGACTGCTGTGCTTTGATTAGAAATTGGTAATTTTCTTTCCCTTTCTTTCCAGAAGGTAATTTCAGGATGTCAGGACAACTTCACTCACCCCTCTGTGGACTGGTGCATATGAATGTCCCAGCACCTCCATAACAGATAAGCTGTTCAGAGTGAACTCATACTAAATGCATTTTTATTATTGGACATTGAGAAGATATTTATCTCTAGGAAGATATTTATGCTGACTCTCTTTTTCACCCACCTCAGTTTTTGGGATAAATGGATGGATGAAGAAGGAGCTGTGCTGCTCTATGTAATAAAGTTGTTGCTATGGCATGGATAACATACTAACTGCTCAGATTCCCTAAACCCAAATGTTTGTGATATGACACAACCCTTAAGCAGCTCTGGTAGCAAACCCCATAAAAATGGCTGCTCCCCTACATATGCCTCTTCACTGCACGGTTGAAAGAAGTGCTGTATATGTATGAGGAAGAGTTGCAGTACGCCTACATCTTTATGTTTCTGCATTCATCGCAGTTACAAACCACAGTGCTCTTGCATGGTCCATCCCTCAATATCACAAACACTGCTAATCAACTCAATTCAGTCGGTTTCTATAAAAACTGAACTAAAAGGCCCTCATTGTAACTTCAGGGAAGCAACTGCTTACAATTAAATCTAACTGCTACCCTGAATATGAAATGAATATTAGGGATAATCATAGGGATTTTTTCCTACTTGTCTATCCTATAATTAAGCTGATTGTAAGGAACACCAGGACAGTCAGCTGGAACGTCGTCAGAGCAGGTTTTGTTCTGGTGGATACCCCTGCCTGGGACACACTGGGGCAGTAACTTTGCAGGGGCAAAGGCTCAGACTGGTGGGGCAGAGCTGCAGCACAACACAGCCTGGAAAAGCCCCCAGGAGGGCATCTCATCCGGCCCCCTCCCCAGCCAAAGCACGGCCATCCTCAACATTAGATCAAGGCTGCAGATGCAGACACAGAATAATGTTATCCCATGCTTCATATTCCCCTGATGTTTATTTTTAAGCTAGGTTGCTTGCCTATGAACTGCAGTCCCAGAGTGCTTTGCTACTTTGCCCCTGACACCAAAAAAAAGTTTATTTAAAGAGATATAAGAAGATGGAAGATTCTGCTGTGCTCTGACACTCTTACCAGTATCTGGAAGCACAAAGTTCCTTTCAGTTTTACTCTTATTTCTGAAAAGCGACACTGAGAACATGAAACGCATTGGTAGAAAGCAATGCATTGGATGCTTCTGCTGGAGGGAGTGCCCTAATGGCTCCTTGCTGCACCCAGCCAGCATGTGTTATGGCAACGGGAGCAACCACCTTCTCTTCAATGAGAAGAGAACCAGCTGTTTGTGTAGGTGCCTGTTCCTCCTTTAATGCTGCTGTCTGTCACCAATAAGCCAAGCCATCAGATCTGTATTTCCAAGTATTTTCGGTAATGAACCCTGACTGCAGTCGCTGCATATGGCTGCAAGTCAACAGGCAGCACAGGTGGCCCAGCCTGGTCACTCACCACAGTAAGAGCTGCATACAGGCATTCTGCATCCCCCCTCCTGTCCCACTGCTCGCTTTGAGCGCACGTCCAACCACGCGCAGTGGGACAAGGTATCACTTACCATAGACAATCACAGTCGCTGTGGTGCTTTTCCTTTTGGCCACAATGTTTTTGGCGACACAAGTGTAATTGGCTGTGTCGGAAAGCCGGGCTTGCTTAATGATCAGGTTGTGATCGATGGTGATGTAAAAATTTCGGTCTTCCATGGGATCAATCACCTCTTCGTTCTTCAGCCACTCCACCTTAGGGTTTCAAAGGGCCAGAGGGAAGGCAGTGAGTCAGCACCAGGTCACACCACAATGGGCACAGTATCTGTGATTACATTGCTCATTCCAGAAAGCTCAAGGAGTCAAGGTGCATCACAAAGGACTCACCTGAGGCATGCTGCCAACTGAAATAAAACACCACAGCAGAAACGCAGGAGAACACCCTTCACGCCTACCCTTTCCTTCAGGTCCCCTTCCCTCCCACCTGTCCACACAACAGCTTTCTTGCCTTGCCTTGAAAATATCAATGCATTTTCAAAGGCTGCCAGCTACTGCACAGAGAAAAATAACTGATCTGTGTTTTCAGAATCTGAGGCAAGGGATAAGGAAGGGGTGATACCTTAGGACCACATCTACAAACAGAAAATTCCCTTACAACATCAGAAACCCTAAAACAGCAGAGATCTCACCCATTCTTTTGTATGACTTGTCTAATTAGGCAGTTAATTATGCAGTAACCTTGTATGTATCTGCCCTGGGTCTAACACAATGAGGCCCTATACCAAAGTAGGTCAAACTAACAAATTACAAACACGCCAATGTTTTTAAGTATACATGCACTCACACATACATGCATGTTATTGTTTTGTTGCAATCAGGATTAAACAAAATAGAGACAGTTACCAAGGAAATAAGGAATCACAAAGACTACATCAGTGCTTATTTTTCCCTTTTCTTTATGTAAGCTATATTTTATTTTAATAAAGCGTAATTTCCTTGGTTACACAGAAAAATATTTTCATATGTGATTTTTAATCTAGACAATGTTCTCTTTATTGCCTTCCTAAAGAAACACCCTATTATATCCCAGCTGACTGCTGCGAGCCACCCTAATATAATTTGGCTACAAATCTAGTAGCTTGTTTTCATTTGAACTGAGCGTGCTCTGAAGGATGGGACTGGGGCCCTGGATGGATCAAAGCTGGGCCTTCATGTCACTGGATCACTTCAGCTTGTGCCCAGGATTTAATTAAAGGAAGAAAAACATAAACACAATTAACCTGCCGGACCCGCAAGGTGCTAACTGCCAAGACCTGCTCTCACAAACCCCACTTTTCCAAAGACATTTGAGGAACTGCCTGAGCATTGACATACCCCAAAACCAACAGAGAACCTGCTCCCCTGCCGAGACAGCCATACAGACTGCCCCAAGCTGTGGGGAGAAAACCAATGGCGTCTCCCAGTGTTAAACACAGAGGGCTTGATTCCTCGCTGGATGGAGCCCGTCCAATGCTGCAAGACCAGCGCTGGTGGATATGCTTGGGTGGAGGTGCATCAGGTGTGAGCTGCTTCCACAGACGTACACCTTACTGCATGTAAAGCCACTGCCCCGAGGAAGGCTTGATTTAAACCCTCCTCTCCCACAGCAGATTGCTGCAGTATGTGGTACCCTCACAACTATCAATACTGTATAGCTTACAATTGGTGGTGCATAAAGGGCTGTCAAAATGGATGTGTGTCTGCAAGGAACAGGGAAAGAAGAAAAAAGACATAAAATTTTGGAGGCTGTGTTTCTGTCACTACAACATTCATGTTTTACCATGGAAGATGCAAGCTCTGAGTCAATAACCTGGTTTTCGTTGCCAGGATGACTAAAATTGTTCTTCCTCCTTTCTTGAATCCTAACAGGTATCAGGTATAATCAAGACAGACAGACTCCTGTTCAATCAATGGCAATATTTAGCTCGTTCGTCACCCGCAGGTCAAGTCTGCATGCATCCCAGACTGAAAAACAAGCCAGGAGCTTACCTCTCCACCAGTGGTAGGCTGCCACTTCACCCCTCTCACACAAACAAAATGTCTTTCTTGGGTTTTAATACCATTATTTACTTCTGGGATGGAGTACAGACTTGTGTCAGGACTCTAAAAGATGCTGCACATGATGCCACAGCTGTATATGTACCACCTTCAAATCCACCTGTACTTTTCCTGTGCTCTGCACGTTGAGGACATCAGGACATCAGTGAGGACAGGACTACCGTCTACATGGCCTAAGGCTCAGTCCAAAATGTTTCTGGTACGCCTGTCCAAGCATATAGTCTAGCAGCCCTTAGCACTATGCAAGGCTCCACGCTCAAGCACGCGGCTCTGTTTTTCCCCATACTCTGCAACACTTTCTCTCTCCACAAAAACACACACATGCATATTCAGTCTGGGTCTCAGCTGATTAGACAAAATTAAAGCTATGAGCATTACATTCCATGTCATCCGTGTAAAAACACCAAAGATGATATGAAAACAGGAGATGCCAATAGCAGAAAAAAAATATATTCTCTATAATTCAGTATACTGCCTCTGGCTCTTCACTGAATGTCTTAGGAAAAAACTCCTTTCCACCTAATGGCTCACAGAATATGCTAATAATAAAACATTAAGTTTGCAGAACAACAGGATGTCTTTTTTTTTCTGAAAAATCTCTTTTGCCAGTACATCAATACTGTGTATACGTGTCTAAACCCCATCTCTTTTACAAGATGCTTCTTGTATATATCTATACATATAGAAGACTGAATATATCTTATTCAGTCTTCTTCTGGCATTCAGTTTTTTATGATGTCACAAGTCTGTTCATGTTGCAAACTATAATGTCATCAAATCTGAAGGGAGGAACTGGTGGATGATTTGACAAGAGGTGGGAGTTGCCTTTCATACACATTTTAGCCATCAGCAGAGCAACACAAAAAAGAGCACATCCCTCCACCGGTTGCGTTTTCTCTCAGTCCTTGTAGAAATGGTAACTAATTAAACACGCTACAACATGTAAATGAGACTTTTGTTGATACTTATTTTCAGTTACTAATGGCCTCGGTTTTTTCTGGTGCAGGTGACTGCAGTGCTCAGCACCTCCAAACCTCAGATTTTTTTTTTTTTTTGAGGTAACCAGAATAGGTGAGAGCAGGGTTGTCCTGTCACGTAATCCCTCCACTGGTTGCGTTTTCTCTCTCAGTCCTTGTAGAAATGGTAACTAATTAAACACGCTACAACATGTAAATGAGACTTTTGTTGATACTTATTTTCAGTTACTAATGGCCTCGGTTTTTTCTGGTGCAGGTGACTGCAGTGCTCAGCACCTCCAAACCTCAGATTTTTTTTTTTTTTGAGGTAACCAGAATAGGTGAGAGCAGGGTTGTCCTGTCACGTAAGTTGGAAGAGATCAGGTGTCAAATACAAAAGAGAAGAGAACAAAGCAGAAGGAGACAGTGTGATTTATGAATGACAAGTATGCAAACTGTTATTACAGAAGGTAAAAGCAACGATCTCTTTTGATGCTATGTCATTTCCCAAGGCGCAGCCCCCTCGCTGAAGTAGGTTGTTAATCCAGTCAATGCAGAAACTTACCCTGAATTTAATTCTGCTGCCTGAATAATGGTGACTGGTGCCCTGGGGAAACCATCATGCTCGCAAGATGCTGGCAGATGAGGCACCACACATTTATGTGCCAGAGACCTGCACCCCTCCGGGCGAACGGACAGAGGGGCAGTCGGATACCCATGGGTATTTCAAAGTGCACAAGATGCCTGTCTTCAGGGTCATACCAAAACATGCCCTCATGGCTCCATTTTTCAATTCTCTAGAGAAGATGTTTCGAGAGTAGATGTTTGCTTTTGCCTAAATATTGAGGATGTATATTTACTAGCTAGAGTCACAACAATTCTTGAACAGGTACCTAGCTCCATTTATTCAATTAAATCAGGCATGTCCCACCAACTGTTATTAATAAATGTACAGATGGCTGTGCACATACATAGAAAAAGGCCGGGCATCAGTTTTTCCTTATTATAACAGAAATCATTTAATTGGCAACAATACTGCCATGAAAGATGGGGTAAGTGTTCCCTTGTGGAGGTGACAGCTATGGAAAATTACAGCAACATGCAACTGTTATTTCTTACGTACCAGTCCCCTGGAACAAAGCAGGCACAAAATCCCCATTTCTTTTTTCAGTTTTCCACTCAAGAAGGTATTTTTGTTATATGTTTGCAAACTGACTAGCAAGAGAAGGCCCCTCTGTAAAGGTGTGAGCGCAGTGAATGAAATCCTGACTCATAGTGACTGCAGATGCCGAGAAGGTGGAGCATACCTGAAGTCAGATACTTTCTGGTCAGAGCTCCTTAGTGCTCTGGATGTAATGTGTGGAGCAGTGAGGCACACGGCTCCTGCCAGCTGTGCTGGATCTACACATCCAGTGCTGCTAATGCGCTGGCAAGCCTGCCACAAGACTGAGCCATCCCCGCGACCGGCTGAGGAAGCGCACGATCCAAGGAGGCTGTAATTTAGAGCAACATACCTTGTAGCATCATTTCTGTCATCCCGCTCCCCACTGAGAGACAGATGTGTTGTCTCTAATTATTCACTGATTGGTATCGGGAGATACATTAACATAATTGGCACATTTGTTCTAATTAACAGAGGGAACCTGCCACATGCCACCCAACATGAAAAGCGAGACCATCAGCAAGAACAGAAAACCTGCAATCACTGCCCCGGCTGTACCTTGGAGCTGCAGCCAGACCTGTGCTGCTGCAGGATGTTTCCAGCAGCAGCCTGAAATAAGGCAGCACATGCAGAGACTAAGACTTGCAAAGCCAGGCCAGGCTTCTGTGCAGACTAAATGAACACAGGGAACATAAATCACACAAGCGATTACATACGCAGGAAAACCTATTACGGAAGCTAATTGCTGACACAAATTTAGCCATGCCAAGTGACTAGCATTACTAGACACTTAAATCTCTTGGCACACATACATATGCGTGACTGTTCTAAAATCTGGTAGAGCAACAGCACATCTGCTCCAAAAGAAACCCAAGAATGGAAAAGGGATACGAGTTCATCTAGATCCTCCCCTCCTGATCATTCCAGTCATTCCTTACACTTCTCGCAATCTCAAGAGGAAAGTCAGCAGGGTGTGAGTCCTGGATCCTGGTCTCTCATTGCCTCCATTGCACCAACCTGCCCTACAGTCATCTTCAGAG